CCAAGATGCAAGAAGACCTTGATCGAATCAGTGCCTGGGCAAATGTAAATGGATTAAAGTTAAATGCTGCCAAAACCCAGGCCATTGTCATTGGATCCAAGCCCCTTATTAGATCCCATCCCGACTTTCCCATGTTACACCCTAATGACCAGCAAATTTCCTTCTACTCCTCTGTTAAAAATTTAGGATTTTTCATAGATGAAACCCTCTCCTGGAACTACCATATTTCTCACGTTTCTCGTCGGACAATTTCTACCCTTAAACTATTTCATCGCTTCCGCCATCTCCTACATCAACATACTCGTAGACTCCTAATTTCCTCTCTCATCTTCACCCACTTTGACTACAGCTGTGTGGTGTATGATGGCCTCTCGGTGGAGCTCCGTGATAGACTGAAAAGATTAATGAATAGCTGCGTAAGATTTGTTATTGGTGCCCCAAGGTACTCCCATGTCTCTCACCACTACACTGAGTTAAGGTGGCTCTTCCCCTCCTTTCGAAGACAATATTTCCTAGGTACGTTCCTTTATCAAATCATCAACAGCCATCGTCCTTCTTACGCCTACAACCTTCTCCAATTCAAGTCCGCAGTCCATTCCCTTTCAACAAGATCTCGACCTTCTGACCTCTTCATCTCTTCTCACAGATCTGCCTCATTTCAAAATTCCGTTATAGCTCGCGCTGTCAATTTATGGAATTCTCTACATATCAAAATTCGGCATACCCCCTACATATTCAAAACCCTCCTATTCCAATTCCTATCCCAAAAACAGTCAGATGCTTGCTAAACTTTTGATATTATACATTTCTATTAAATCAGTCATCATCAAACGATAGTACTATTCTATACTGTAAACTAAAGGACATTAAATATCTTCCTGCTCTTAATGCCACTGAATGCATTTATTGTTAGTTTTTTTATTCTTATATAATTAGATCTGTACCTATAACTAGAATTAGACAATGATGAGCATATTATTCATTATTTAAATACTCTGGCATTTTATATTGTCAGCTTTGTCTTTCCTTTGTTAGCAGAAACACACCTCATTTTGAAGAAGAGCTCAATGTATTTTTTATTATTTTATTTTTCAAAGGTGTATAATTATAATTTTTCCTACTGTACATAGTTTTCAGTGTTTTATCATAATTGTAAGTGTTTTGTATAGAGATTTTTTTTTTGTATATAGCTTGTTTAACTATTATTTTCTTTACTTTCTCTTTTTTATTATGGCCAGATGTAGTCTTTTAATTATATTCTATTTTGTTATTCTAAAGGGACTTTGTCCCAGAACAAAGTTATTTTCTATTCTATTCTATTCTATATATTCCTCAAAAATGAATGAGGATATTTCTATTTGATTAGTTTTAATTAAAATACCTCACTTAGGTTTGTTTGTTAGATAATCACCCATTTGTTGGTAAACATAAAAAGTAAACATCAAGTATTCTTTATTTTAATAAATTATTAACTAAAGGATAGTCAGTCAACATGATAAATAATTATTGTTTAAACCAACTGTTTCGTTCGACTTTTCTCAAGTTTAATCCAGCAATATTCTGTTTAATGATGGAAAGACATCATATTGAACCAAAATTTTGCAATAAACGTAGATACCGCTGATGCAGTCGGCGTCTCCCAAATTGTGCTCTTCCGGGCTTTAGCCAGATACAGAGAAAGTACCAATAGGGACCTGTTAGTGGATCTCAGTGCATTACGATTCCAAGGTATGCCAGAAATTTTGTTATTACTGCAAGAAGCAACCCTTTTCATAGTGTCCCGCAGAGCCTAAGTGAAGTGTATAATGTTCTGCCAAGGCCCATATGAACTCAAATCCTTCGTAATCGTTTCTGAGAAGTTGGTCTAACAGCTTATTTCACTTTAAGACGAGCGGCAGCCACAATGCATCACCGTCAACTCACCACAGATCATGGTATAGTGAGCGCCTGGATGAGGATACAAATTGGAATGTAGTTACGTTTATAGACGAGTTGCGTTTCTGTATGTATAGCGATCATGGGCGGTGAAGAGTCTGCCGAGAACAGTTGCAGTCTATAGGTGGAAGTGTGATGGTATGGGATGGCATCTATTCAGGAGGGCGGACTTCAAACTAGGGCCATAATTGGTACAGATTTCCAATGTCTTGAAAATGTGGATATTCCACATCTGCCCTCATCCCGTATTGTCTCCAGATCTCATTCTCTCTGAGCACATGTGGAATGCATTGCAGAGAAGGCCACAATTTTTGACCACAATCTACAGCTTTTTATCATTCAGCAATTGAGAGTCCTATTACCACGTTTATAAAGAGAAGGAGGGTTGGGATGATCAGTCAGAAAAAAAAGGCAAAATAAATAATAATATTTATTTTAACATTTGCCGACGTTTCGAACTGAAGTTAAGGCCTTCTTCAGGGCTAAGGAAATAACCAGATAACAAAGTATGAGAAATATATAGAAAATATAGAAACATATAGAAAATAACCAGATAACAAGGTATGAGAAACATAAACAATGTAGGTAAAACAATTAAAGTAAAATGAAGTGGGTAGAATAATGACTGGTTGTGCCAAAGAGGAGTTTTTGTTTGAATGTCCCGCGTTACGTCGAGTGGTGGGGCAGATATAAAAGATAAATATAACACTTAAGCCCTAGAAGGAACTGGTTGTATCTGCCCATTCCACCGGCAGCTACCACTGGGCAAACACCATCTCCAGCACGAGAAGCCACCTACGGAGAGCTCTCCAGGTAAAAAAGATGTGGGCTGGCATATAGACGATAAGCTGTTTTTTTTTGCACAATCATTAACCCACCAATCCCTTGAGGTACAGTTCATTGCTTAAAAATTAGAATGTTACCTTAAATATTTGGAATGTTGCCTTATTGAAACTCATGAGAGTTATTTTTCTATAATTAGAGAGTTGCCTAAACATTTGGTCCACCTGACTCGATAAAATATTTTTTTTTTTGCCATTTTAGATGCCAATGTTTTGCCGTATGTAATAGAGGAAAATTGCCTGGTAGGTTATGAGAGGTAATATAAAGATCGTCTATTAGTATTACGCCTATTTTTTTTTTTTTAAATGTAACTTTCTTCGTTTATTACTTTGTTGCGTATTTGGGAGCGCCAGAGTAATAAAAATTATTTTCTTCTATGTGAAAAAATTATGTTTCCGGCCTAATTCGTATTTCGCCTAATAACACGTTTTTCAAAAATATACTTTAACCAATAGATCTAATGCTTTCGTTACGTATTAGGGGAAGTCAAGCAATTTCCAGATAAGTTTCCAAAAATATTGAGAAAGAATAAATAGTTACTTGCTGGCATTGGGTGACTTGTTGATACTTACGTTAATCCCAAGGGGGCGGGGTGGCCGAATAGGCTAAAGCGTGTGCACAGCACCGCTAGTTGCCTGGCAACCGGATAACAGAGATTTGAGATGATATAAAAATATGAGTTCGTGTCCCGGTGCCGGAGGGGATTTTAAATTCCCCGCCCTCTCCCCCCGGCCCGGGAAAATCCCGTATAGCCTAAAAGGCGAGGTAGGGAAGAACAAAAAAAAAAAAAAAAAAAAAATTACGTTAATCCTTACCCGCTTTGCTGAAATTTGAAATTGTTTTGAATAAAAGGCCTGCACTACTGAACATTAAAATTTAATTTTGAATAAAATTGTTGCTTGTTTTATTGGATTATTTGTTTATTGCTAAATATTACAATCTGTCTCAATAAAGGATACCTTAAGCAATTAAGTTTTGATTTGAATTTTATTGAGTTTTGCCTTGAGCAATTAAATTTTGAATAGAATTGGATTTTGTCTTCAGCAATTGAAATTTTATTTGAATTTTAGTTTTTTTTTCTCTCTACAATTTTGAAGATGGCACCAACTAAGATAATGAGGGACTTAAAGCTATAAATGATGAAAGGAAGGATGTTTCTTAGAATTCAAACTACATATGATATGATCAAGGGTCTCCCTAATAGATAGGAAATTATTATGGTTAGGGCATCAGAAATTAGAGCGCAACTAGAGGAATTTGAAGCGGTTTTGAACAAATTTTCTGTGCTAAATGAATCACTAGATAAAGAAGATAGAATTAAACGCAACATCTCTAGCGGCGGAAGACCATTATTATGAAATAAAAGCTGCGCACGAGAAATTAATTAAAGCTGAGTACATAGTTCCCGCTTCTCAGCCCAGGTCTGAACCAGTAGCTTATCCTAAATTGCCAGGTTTGCATATTCCTCCATTTTCCGGTCAGTACGAACAATTTCCATCATTTAAGTCATTATTTGATGCCTTAATCCATCATCGAAATTATACAGAAATATTAAAGTTTTCATACCTCAAATCACTTTTGGTTCATCCTGCTTCACGGGCCATTTTTTCAATCGAGTTTAATGCAAAAAATTACAGCTTGGCCTATGATAAATTAGTAAAGCGCTACAGCAATAAAAGGATCATTGCGGCCTACCATCCTCAAAAGATTATACGATTTAAATCCTTTTCGGTTGATCATCCTACCAACTTCAGAAGCTTTCTGGATACATTTGAGGATAATTACAACGCCTTAAAAAATCTTAAACTCCACAACCTCGCTGATTTTATTTTAGGTATATTTTAGATTTATTTTAGAAGAATATTCGAGAATAATCTCAGCGAAGAGACAGTTCCTAATTTTAAAGAAGTTTGTTAAGTCACAACTTAGAGTCGCAGAAATGTGTTCCGAGCCGTCTAAAAACACTCAGCCTGAAGTTCAGTGAAAAACGTTTTTAACCAGCCATCATAATAGACCGGATAAACAGAAAATTAATTTAGAGTGCCCAGTTTGTAAATCAAGCTATACAATTATAAATAGCCCTCAGTTTTTGAATGCAGATGTTAATGCAGATGTCGTTATGACTTGTTAATGAAGTCTGATTTATGCTTTTCTTGTACGCGACTTCATCGTTTACCGAATTGCCAATGTAAGGGTTGTTGCCAAGTTTGTGGAAAAAGGAGTCACCATACAATGTTGCATAAAGCTGCAAACTCTGAGCTATCACAGTAGCAAGTAACAAACAATTCTAGTGCAGTTTCGTGCCACGGTACCACAAACTCACAGGAACTTCTGGGTACAGCGTTAGGTAAAAACTCGTTCAAGTTCAGGTCAGTGGCATTCATGCAGAATGGTGATGGATCACAAATCAATTTAATTACCTCTGATCTAGTGAAAAAGTTGCTCTTTCGTTCCCGGGTTAGTCCTATTGTGGTGTCTGGAGTAGGTAATACCTCTATATCTTCATCTTCTGCTGAGGTTAAGGTGAAGTTGGGTTCAACGAAAAATAGAAGCATATATGAGTTTTCAGCCAAAGTATTACTATGCATAAGTGGAAGTTTGCCTTCGTTTGCCGTGTCCCAAGATGTACGAAATAAATTTGCGTCAATAGATCTAGCAAACACACAATTTCATACGCCAGGAAAAGTTTTTGCTTCTGGGTGCTGAGATGCACGGTGAGGTTTTAAGTGACCCTGTTTTATTTCTTAAGGGTCAACCAAAAGCTATTCATACCTCATTAGGATGCGTATTATTTGAGGACACCCTCTCGGAAAGCCAAAGCTCCTATACCTTCTATAGTACTTTTTTCACGCAGACCAGCCCTTCCTTACAGGAGGAATCAAAGTGATTTTGGAAGACTGAGGAAGTCACAGTTTCGATTCCGCCAAATCCTGAAGATGCATTTTGCGAAGATCACTTTATAAATACATGCACCCATGATCTCCAGGGTAGATTCGTTGTTTCGCTTCCGTGCCGTTCTTATCAGCCGATTGACCTTGATTCCACCAGAGAGATAGCTCTACGCAGATTTAGAAAGCTGGAAAATAGATTTAGGAAGGATCCGGAATATAAGTCTGCCTATGCTGCCCAGATGGATGAATATATAAGATTGGATCATGTCCACCTAGCCAAGAACCCTTTTCCGTACGTCATGACCCATCATGGAGTGATTCTTTCACGACAAAACTTAGAGTCGTATTTAATGGTTCAGAGAAGATGGTGGGAGGAAACTCACTCAATGACTTACTTTTGACCGGTCTGCAGCTCCAGAGTGGTATCGCGGAACTTATAAATCATTTTAGATGCTTTCCTGTGGCCTTAACATGCGATATAAAAATGATGTTTAGGTATAACCGCATTGCCGAAACTAATCAGAACCTATTACGTTTTTTTTTTTGAGAAGTGAGTCTTCACAGCCGATCCAGGAATATGAGTTGGTTATCCTTCCATTTGGGTTGAAATGTTCTCCCTTTATTGCTCAGAGAGTCATTCTACAGTTATTTCGAACAGAAGGCCATAATTTTCCTAAAGCTGCCCAGTGTCATGACCAAATTTATGTAGATAACGTAATCACTGGTGCTTGCAGTAGTGATGAGGCTCCGGATCTGTACAATGAGTTGATGCCCTTATTCGGAGCAGGTACGTTTGAGCTCAGAAAGTTCTCCAGCGATTCCGATAAAGTACTTTCTGTCATACCCGAGGGTAGTCAAGAAATGCCGTTGTGTCTGGATGGAGATTCCTCGACTGTTAAGGTTTTGGGTTTGTTCTGAGATCCTAAACTCGATCATTTAAGGTATTCAATACAGGAATGTGAGCCTGTTTTTACAAAGCGAAGTATTCTATCCTTCATTGCCAAGATTTTCGGTATAAATGGATATGTCAGTCCCGTGATTTTTTCTGTTAAATGTAATAGACATTTGTGGCTACTTAAGGCTAATTGGGATGATGAGTTGCCTTCTAGTGTGTCTTCATTGTGGAAGATTTTCCTTCACGAATTTCCGAGCTTGAAAAGTGTTTGCCTGTCTCGTTACATTGTCAGCCAGAATGCACCATCCATGCAACTAATTGCCTTTTCAGACGCTTCCGAGAGGGGTTACGGGTGTGTGATCTACCTGAGTGTTGGATGCCCTGGAGAAGCTACCAAAATTCATTTGTTAAGGGAAAATGTAAGGTGGCCCACTTAAGGTTCAATCAGTGCCTCGTTTGGAATTAAATGCTGCTCTTCTTGCCTCCAGACTATTTACGTGTATTGGTAAACTTAAAAGTCATTTAAAAATTGAAGAAGTTTTTCGTTTTTTGGATTGGTTATAGACACCACCACATGAACTTAAAATTTATTTTACCAATCGCTTGGTGCAGATTTTGGAGGTTACAGAACCTAATTTTTGGCATTATATTCCTATGAAACAGAATCCAGCAGATTGTTATCGAGAAGCCTCACTCCACGCCAAATACTTTCACGTGAGCTTTATTGGAATGGCCCGGCATTTATTTCGTTACCTTCTTCTGACTGGCCTGTTTACCACATTGAACCTCCAACCGTTCTGACTGAGGTAAAAACAATATCTCTTTTAGCGGCTGAAAAACCTAACGATTTGTTTATTTGCCAGGAGAAATATTCTAGCCTTTCAAAGTTGCAAAGAGTTTTTGCTTTCATTTAAAAAATTTATTAAATGTTGCCGAGATAGGGTGCAAGATAATTTTGCTGCTGGAACCTTGACTGCGGAAAAAGCATTTAAGGATTCCTTAAATGATCCCTTTAAATGATTAAAGGATTCCTTAATGCCACAAAGGAATTAAGGATTCCTTGATGATTTATGTCAAACTCATTTAGAGGAAATCCTTAATTAATTGTCTTGAAGGTGGCAAACCATATAAGGGTTCCTTAAACAGGTTCACGCCATTTTTGGATAAGGCCGGAGCTCTCAGGGTGGGAGGTAGATTGAAGTATTCCACATTCGAAGAGAAAACTAAGCACCCGCTGCTGATACCTAAAGACTTTCATTTAGCAGTCCTTTTGTGTGATCATTACCACAGGTATTTCTTGCATGGTGGCCCCCTGTTGGTCCAGTCTCTCATTCATCGCCAATTTTGGATCCCTTGCCTAAGAAGACTCGTTAGAAGCCGTATTGATAAATGTGTTACGTGCCACAAAAATAATGCGAAACCTCAGGCTCCAAAAATGAGTGACTTACCGTTTTTTAAGGTGACCGAAGGTCGGTCCTTTTAGCGAGTTGGAATAGACTATGGTGGCCCCTTCATTATGAAGATTTCCAGTAAGCGCAATGCTCCTAAATCAAAATGTTGGTTAGCTCTCTTCGGGAGCATGCCCACCAAGTCCATACATCTAGAACTTGTGACGGACCTATCCACCTCTTCATTTATTGCCACAGTGGCCCAGAGATCTTTTGTAGTATATTGTTTTTTTATAATATGTTTAGTTATTTTATTTTTTTATAGTACGTGTTATAGTTTTTGATTATTATTTTACTTTTGCTGATCTTATATTTTCTGTATATATAGGGTGTAAATTTGTTTATACATCACTATAATTATTGTCCACGTGACAGATTATTATATTTCTAAATAAATAAAAAAATATTACATGGAGACTTTCTTTAGGATAGGACGGATCACATTGGATTATGTGATTGGAATCTAGGATGGGGTACAGGCGTTTTAGGATGAGCTTTTCCTGGATTTTGCCCAGGATGGTTAAAAGGGACATAGGGCGACAGGAGGATGGGTTTTCTGGTGGCTTTTTGGGTTTATGCATCATTTTGATAATAGATAATTTCCAAGGGTCAGGAAAATATGTGAATCGCATTACAGCATTATATATATAAGTAAGGAATAGAATGGCTTTCCGAGGAAGCAGTTTTAGGATCTGGGATGTAATTAGGTCGTGTCCAGGAGCTTTCCGGGAAGTTAACCTTTGAATGATGTTAGATATTTCTGAAGGATGAAAAACTTCAGGTGGAAGAGACATTTGGAGTGGGATGTCCAGTTCTTCAATACATTCAAGGTGATTTGGGTTAAGAATATCGGGGTGTGGATTTAAAGGTTTTAAAGATGTCATGAGCAAAGATTTGTGATTTTTCTTCATCGTATTTGGACCAGGTTTGAGCTTCAGTAAATAGTGGATGATTACAGTCTTTAAATTTCAGGAGCCTTTTGGTGGTCGTCCATTGTTGGTATTTTCTAATTTCTGATTTTAGTCTGTTAGTCAGTTGGGTGTAATGAATTTTATCTGTTGGATATCTGGTTCCATGCCACTTCGATCTTGCTCTGCGTTATTCCTTAATAAGATACGAATGGTTAAATTTAACATTACTTTTTGGGTGAGGAGGGCTCCAGCCCAAAAGCTCCCCCGTAGATCCGCCTGTAATGTGGTCCATGCCATATTTTCCTCGCATTTACGTATTTCTTGCTTTATAATCTACCCTTTCTTTCCTAATGTCTGAGTAGAATTCGCGTATATCTCCAGCCTGCCAGTTGTCGTCAATGGTTTGCAATCTTTCTTTGAGGAATTCCTTTTTTACCGATCTTATAGTTTTGTTTGTCTTTTTCTTGGCAGCAGTTCACTTGATCAGTTGTAGTTAGACAGAAGGCCTTCATTTTTCGTCTTTCCTCTACTGCCATTTCGCATTCTTCTGTGAGTCATATCTTAGCTTTTCGTTTCTCCTGAATACCAATAACTCCATTAGCTGTTTCTTTTTGTACTTTCTCTATTTACCCCAGTGTTTACCACCGTGAAGCTATCCGAATCCAAGAATTCGAATTTATTTTTCAGTTAAAGTTGGAATTTGGTTGTTACTTCAGGATTTTTCTAATTACGGATTTCATACCTCTTTCTTTCCACTCGATCTCCTGTTGTTTTCATTCGCCCCAATCTCTAACATAACCTAATTCTAGAATTAGCTCTGAGCTCTTGAGCTCTGATATCTCTTTTCTACCAGCATATGGCCAATTTGATTTTTCGCTACTTTAAGGATAACCCAGGTGTACTTGTCAATATCCTTGTGTAGGAACATTGTACTGCTGACGACTAGACCTTTAGGTGTTGCCAGACTGATACATCTCACTCCATTGTCATTGCTATTAAGGCTTTCGCCTCTGATTATGGGCCTGGATTGGGGTTCGCGTCTTATCTTTGCATTAAAGGCGCCTATGACTAATTTTATATCATGAGCATGGTCCATAATATTTTCCAACTGATCCTAGAAATTATCCTTCACCTCTTCATCTTCGGTTGGTGCATACATATTAATCCAACGACCTGTAACTCGTAATACACTAATACTTTCGTTTATCGGAGTGAAGTTAAGGATTGACTTCCTTGCCGCTGGCCTAACGATAAATACCTTGCCGGCTGTCGTATTTTTATCGTTTCTCTTAGTGTATGGCCGTCGACGGTGGTTTCGCCACCACCTGGCCACCTTAGCTCGTGAATCGCTGTTACTGGTATGTTATACCTTTTTAGTTCCTTGACTGCCGTTTTTGCAGCTCCTGGTCTGTATAAACTACGTATGTTCCAAGATCCAATATT